CCCCCCCCAGAAAATCCGTGCCTGCGCAATAGTTTCAAATAATTTGTTAAAACATAAAACATAACCGTGGATTAACTTGCAGTCATGTACTTTTCAGAAATTTTGAAATCATCAAAAGAATTGCTTATGATGTCATCCTAGGCTTGTCGTATCTGAACAGGCGGGATATTGTTCACAGATCATTATCTTTAGAGAATGTCTTACTGGATGTTACGGTATTCCTTGCTTAATTTGTTCAAATTTTATGTTCTTCACCCCTTTTTCTTGTGTTTCACTGGAGACAAATGCAGTATATGAAGAATGTGTAATGTACAAGTGTACAGTAGTTGAGACCTACAATACAGTATCTCTGCCTTGGCTTAGTAATAGCAATACACTGTAAAAACTTACCAGTCATATTAGCTAGTTGTATATATACATATGTGTAATTTCCCCTATGGAAATTACACGTCCCCTATGGAAATTGCACGTCCCTATGGAAATCATCGAAAGATGTTAGGGCTAATGTTTTAAATAAATTTTTATGTATGTATGTAAACTATGTAAAAGAAGAAAAAAATAAATTGAATAAAATAATTTTGACACTTCAAGCAATGTGCACTCAAATTTGGCTTGGCATAATATACTGGATTTTTGGGCTAAAATTTCCAAAAAATTGTCTATTTTAGTTTTACCTAAAAATGTGGGGACATTTATCTCCCCCCCCCTCCCCCACCAAAATTTCCCCCACTGATCTACGGTACCATACGTACTCTATATCTCTCAGAGTATGACTTTTGTATCATGTTTCTTTGTTTATCAATGTAGGGAAGAGTGAAGTTATCTCAATACGGACGTTATTTTATGACAAATCATGGCACTGCAGCGGATTTTCCTATTGGGTAAAATGTTATGCTTTTCACCAGACAGTTAGAAACAACAATTATTATAATTCTCATCAATACATTAATACTGTGATAAAGCATTTCATTAATACTGTGATAAAGTACTGTACGTTAGGTGCTGGTTGTACAAAGCCTAGGCCGGATAACATTATCAACAGATGTGACTTTTTCAAGCTTTTTAAAAATTGTCCTTTGACTGTTATAACCCAGATTATACTTTACTAGTATTTATAAATTACAATTTCTTTTTGTTGATTGTGAAGTCTATATCCATAATTTTAAAGCTTTAATTATACTAAGCATCACTATCCTGTGGACATCCAACCGATCCCAGATCTCAAAATAACATTAGGTTTAAGCCGTATTACGTAATTAGTAATTAATTATTTAGTGGAGATTAGTTATATCCAATTAGTTTTAGAAAAATTTCAACAGCCTATGATCAGACCGGAAAACTGTGACCTGGGAAGATCCTGCTTTGATGTTACAATGTATTGCGCAGTGTTGCTCCTAGTGAATTATTTGCTTCGTAACTTCGTTTCTTGTAACTTTGTATCCTCGTAACTGTAGCGAAACCTAATTGCTGTTAGGAAAATATAATATTTAGGATTCAGTTCTTGCATGATAACAGTACATAACGATATTAAACAGAGGATGTTTTGGGGTCGCTGTTACTGAACGTTGGAAGTTTCTCAGGTATGTAAATGTACAGATTCACCTGAATAACTCCCAATGTTCAGTTTATGATTCGCAGAGGACAAATACAAAGTATGGGCACAGAGAAGAGATATATTTCTTCTCTGTGGTATGGGGCATTTACTGTTTGTTGCGTGGGCTCTTGTGTTGCAAAGTTTTGTGTCGCCAGATTTGTCAGATGACGCGTATTCCATTCAGACCAAACAAGAATTCGCCATTCAAATCAATAAAACCATTTTTGTAACTTTGCCATCCAGGGTAGAAATCTACACTGTCTTGGTCTTCTTTAAAACAGGTTCAGCCTCCTCCAAAATTAGTTTATATTTTAAAACTGACTTGAAATGTTCTCAAGCAATAACGGTCGATTGTATAAACACCATTGTTTGTGTATACAGTATCGGTGATAGTGGCGACATTGTCACCAAAATTATTCCAAATCATCAACACGGTCGCCATACTGGAGCAAGAAATGAGAAGTTAGAAGCAACTGACGAAGTTTTATTTATTTGTTTATTTATATCACTGAGAAAGGCAGGCACACCACAACGGCTGAACGACACCATTACGATTATATCAATGTACGTATCACGTTGCATTTTAAGCGCACCTTCAACGAATGAAGACATCACACTCACCATACTGGAGTTGGGTGCAACTGATGACATTTTCTCAAATCACATTTCCAGCAGATGAACACATCACCATACTGGAACTAGGAGCAACAGATAGACAGCAGACACCCACCAAATGAAGGCGCCTTCATTTCCAGGAGGTCTAAGATTTAGTCTGGAGAGTACTGTCTGTCCAAGACCTCCTACTGATGAGTACATCATGCTGCAGCTACAGTCGATCCTGAGCTATGTGTGACAGATGACGTTTTCTCTATGTTATATTCAAGACCTCCTGCTGATGAGTACATCATGTTGCAGCTACAGTCGGTCCTGAGCTATGTGCAACAGATGACGTTTTCTCTATGTTATATTCAAGACCTCCTGCTGATGAGTACATCATGTTGCAGCTACAGTCGGTCCTGAGCTATGTGCGACAGATGACGTTTTTTCTATGTTATATCCAAGACCTCCTGCTGATGAGTACATCATGCTGCAGCTACAGTCGGTCCTGAGCTATGTGTGACAGATGACGTTTTCTCTATGTTATATTCAAGACCTCCTGCTGATGAGTACATCATGTTGCAGCTACAGTCGGTCCTGAGTTATGTGCAACAGATGACGTTTTTTCTATGTTATATCCAAGACCTCCTGCTGATGAGTACATCATGTTGCAGCTACAGTCGGTCCTGAGCTATGTGCAACAGATGACGTTTTCTCTATGTTATATCCAAGACCTCCTGCTGATGAGTACATCATGTTGCAGCTACAGTCGGTCCTGAGTTATGTGCAACAGATGACGTTTTTTCTATGTTATATCCAAGACCTCCTGCTGATGAGTACATCATGTTGCAGCTACAGTCGGTCCTGAGCTATGTGTGACAGATGACGTTTTCTCTATGTTATATTCAAGACCTCCTGCTGATGAGTACATCATGTTGCAGCTACAGTCGGTCCTGAGCTATGTGCGACAGATGACGTTTTCTCTATGTTATATTCAAGACCTCCTGCTGATGAGTACATCATGTTGCAGCTACAGTCGGTCCTGAGCTATGTGTGACAGATGACGTTTTTTCTATGTTATATCCAGGACCTCCTGCTGATGAGTACATCATGTTGCAGCTACAGTCGGTCCTGAGCTATGTGTGACAGATGACTCAAACTAGATCTAATCCTTCAACAGATGAATACTGGAGCTAGGTAGAACTGATGACGATCCCTAGACTGGACCCCAGACATCCAGCAAATGAAAACATCACCTTAATGGGTTTTCTCAAACTACGTCCCAAACCTCCAACACAAGATGACATCGCGGCCACCATACTAGATCCCAGTTTTTCAACAGATGAAGACGTCACGGATGCCTCATCTCTTGGAGGTCTAGAATGTAGTCCAAAGAAACAATGGTGTTGAACAACTGATGACGTTTTCTGTAGACTGGATTCCAGGCTACTTATAGAAGCTTTGAATGAATATTGCGTGAAAATCAAGTGGAATAGTTTACCGTCATTGTCAATGAAACCGCATGAATTGTTGAAAATTTCTCCACCAGGGCAACAATAAAAAATATATATTGAAACATTTTATAAAAATGGTACCTTCAATGCTCGTATACATTATTTTTGGATATGAAGGCCAGTTTGAAGAATATAGTAAGAACGAAAGAGATTTTCAACGCTGCATGTATACATGCCGTGAAACAATTACTAGACTTCGTTATTGGATATTTTGTGAATACACCATGCATGAATCATATTTATTAATCTGACTTTTCCTCGCGAGTCTAAATGAAATGGGTGAACATTGGAGTTTGAAATCAGATGGAAAATGAGAAGTTGTCTATTTTCCATTATGCTTTTCTGTGAACAGACACTGCATTTTGTATAAATTAAATCCTGATTGCTCCAAAACAGTAAACTACACCAACAACTGTGTTTCCAGTACCCGTTCTCCACCCTTATATAATTAGATGTAAGCCATTGCGTATGTTTGCTACATTTTGAGATCTTCAGATATTATTATTATCCCATAAAATTAAAGTTGAATGTATATTTTAGATCTCCGAGATACCTTGCCCCAGAAATCCTGCTACGAGGTCCGCAGTATTCACTGTTGTCTGGCGCATCTAGCTCAAAGGTACATGCATATGTATTGCAGTGTGTAGAATATTTTGTGTTGGCATGCGAGGACTCATATTAGTAGGGTTTTTTTCACTATGAACAGCAGGAGCGTTTACTAGAGACATTTTACTTTGAGTTTCAATCTCCAACAACTTGGAATTGATTGTTGTTTGTAGAAAAGCTTTGCTTATCAATTCTCACCCATTATTAAAATTGATTAAAATTTGGTTTATATGCAGTTAATGTATTTACTAATTACTTTCTATTGATGATGGTTTCCTTGGAATTTCATTTAGGCGGACGTGTGGTCTCTGGGAATTGTTTTAACTGAGCTTGTTTTGGTAAGTTATAACTGAGTAAAAAATATGTGCATACGCTGTTGTGTAGATTAACATTATTATTAAAACAATGCTCCTTAAAGTGCCTATGACACGAAATTTCACCCCAAATGTTTATGATTGCATTGTAAAGATCACTTAAAATGACTTAATAATTTTTTTTATAGAATTTTGATAACTTGCTTCCTTTTCAAGATATTCAACTTTGTTTCATATGCAAATATCACCGGTGTGACATCACATCGCATAATGGCATTTTGAAAACGCAATATTTTACCTTGATAAAATATTTTTACAAACAAATACAGAGGGTTAATTACCAGTTATGAAATTAATACATATACAAGGGCAATTTTGAAGTATTTTGATACGTATTCGTCAAGAAAACTATACTTTTCTGAAAACTCATTATGTGATGTGATGTCACACCGGTGATATTTGCATATGAAACAAAGTTGAATATCTTGAAAATGGAGCAAGTTACCAAAATTCTATAAAAGAAATTATTAAGT